GGAAACTGCTGCTGCTGGGCGAGCTCTTCGACTGCTTCGACGTCGCGTTGACCGTCGCCGCGGGCCTCGGGTCCAAGTCGCCCTTCGTCTGCCCCCTGGGCAAGGAGCCCCTGGCCAACGCGGCCAAGGCCAGGTTGGCCGACGGCACGGACAGCGACCACGTCTTGCTCGAGCGCGCCTACGCCGAGTGGCGGGCGCGGCCGGGCTACCGCGACCGGCGGTCCTTCTGCGACCGCTTCTTCCTGTCCCACCAGACCCTCGAGTACGTCGACCAGCTCCGCCGCGACCTCGGCTCCGGCTGCCGCGACCTGCTCAAGCGCGACGCGGGCGGCCGCGCGCGGCCGCGGCACGCGGCGGCCCGGCTCTCGTCGGCGCTGCTGGCCGCGCTGTGGCCCAACGTCGCCGCGGTGCGCAAGCAGGGCAAGGGCCTCGCGCTGGGCAGCGGCCTCAAGGTCGTCTGCCACCCGGGCTCCGTGAACCGGAGCGCCGCGGACCGCCTCGTCGTCTTCTACGACGTCCAGGAGACGAGCGACCGCTACCTCTACGACACGTCCGTCGTGAGCCTCGCCCAGGTGCTCCTCTTCGCGCCGGACGTGGCCCAATCGACGACGAACTCGGGCCGCGCGAAGTTGGCCGTCGCGCCGGACCTCCAGGTCTTGGTCGACGCGGCCGCGCTCGACGACGTCCTCGCGACGCGCGACCTGCTCCAGGCCTTCGTCCAGCGCTCCGTCGGCCGGCCCACGGACGACGCGTCGGCGCGCGCGAGCGCGGCCCTCGCCGCGCTCTTCTCCGCCGACGTGAGCGCGGACTTTGGCGACGACGACGAGGAAGAAGAGCGGCCGCCGACCAAGGGCGCGTACCGGCCGCCGCACTCGCGCGGCCGCGGGCGGGGGGACGGGGCGTGGTGACTCGCTTCTTGTCGACTTAGGCGCGCGCGGGAGTCCCTCACGCGCGGCTCGGGTAGCACGCGCCGCTCCACGCGACGCGCTCGAACTTGTCGACGGGCGCCGGCGGCGCGCCGAAGGACGGCCCGGCCCAGGTCCGCTTGACCCAGGCCTGGTACTCCGGCGAGGCGCCGTACTTGGCCCGCTGCTTGCGCTCGAGTCCCGATGTCGCCTCGCCCGCGAGCACGTTGAAGATGCCGACGAGGCCCACGAGCGACACGGCCGTCCAGACCGCGTTGGCGCGGAGCGCGCCGCTGGCGGCCAGCACGCCGGCCGCCGCGGAGCCGGCCCAGCCGATCATCTCGCCCGTGTAGTTCGGATGGCGCAGCAGCGCGAACGGTCCTCCCGTGACGAGCGCGTCGGCGCCGCGGACGGCCTTGGCGGCGCTCTTGTAGACGTCGCCGACGGCGCCGAGGGCGAAGCCGAACCAGGCGACGGCGACGGCCGCGCCGACGCCGCCCGTTGGCTCGACGCAGCCGGCCGTGAGCTTCAGGGGAGCCGCCATGCAGTAGTAGAGCAGCGAGCAGCCGACGACGACGGGCGCGCGCTTGAGCCGCTGCGCGAGCGACGCCGGCCGCGGCTTCATCTGGTGGATGGACACGGGCAGGAAGAGCTCGCGGTAGAGCAGGAAGAGGTTGAGGCGCGCGCCGTAGAAGAGCAGAGCGGCCGCGTGCGCCGCTCCGACGCCCGCCGCGCCCGCCTGGAGGGCGAGCGCTCCCGCGGCCGCCATGGCGCCGCCGTAGCCGTAGGACACGGCGTAGCCGCCCTTCCAGAAACCCAAGCACGTCGGCAGCGTCGCCGCGGC